TATATATATCTATTACGTGTAGGCTGAAGAAGTTTCAATCTCAATATTGAAACCATTGACTGGTGCTACAATGCATTACTACTCCAGCAACTTTTGCATTGTTATTCAAATATTGATAACCAAACAGTTTGGTGTTGGGAAAAAAATTCCAGTAATATTTTTTTCAGGAGAGTTCAGTAATTCAGCCTAGCACCACTGATGACACTGTGGGTCAAAACAGCGCTGTATGGTGTTGAATCACAAGTCCATTTAGCTGCCTTGTAGTGAAAGACAGCGGATGAATTTCTCTCGACGATCGATGTCTAAACTTGGCTTTGCAACTGATCGCCTAGGGGAGCCTCGTTTATCTTTCATATTTGAGGATTGGGTCTTCTGTCAATCCCATAAATGGCATCTTCGTAGGGGGAGATGTCATCGCCTTTACTTTCAGGCTTGTCCTTTTTTAGGACAGTTCAGTGAGTCAGTCCAGTACCACTGATGAGACCTAGTGATCTCTTATGGTTTCCAATTTTTCCATGCCTACCATCATTATCTTGTACCAACTATACCTACTCATCAAATATGTTATATTCACAATCATTACCAATTTTTGTTTTCATTCAAAAAATTCGAAACTGGCCGCTTTCACTAATTTACATTTTCCACTGATAAATTTGAGATTTTATTTTCTTTAACTGTATTTATTCAATCCACTTATAAAACCTTTTGAAAGTTTTTACCGTCAACCATGTTAAATCGGTCGAAGTGATTGCTGCGACGAGTAAACTGAAAATGATCCTGGTGCGTTTGTACTTATAATGGAACTAGATGTCGTTCGACCATCTGCTCTTGTACCTGATTGGTCCGGCCCCTTTCTAATTATCGGGAGAATCTTTGTGTTACGAAAGGCCGGTATCCATTTCCATTTTGTTTGCGCATCACAGCAAGGTAGACCACCCTCCTACAGTGCTTATGTATTAGTTAAACGGCCCCTAATAAGTATCTACTAGGAGTTACCTTTTTCATTTCTAATAATTCTGAATGGAGTGAGAGTGTAACGGAAACTAGAGTTTCCGTCACATGGTATGTCATTTAGTTCTCTCAGAAAAATTACACAAACTTTTGACTCGGTTCTTATATTATTTTATTCAATTCTTCAAAAAAAAATGAAATTTAAAAAATCACATGAATAGCGAAATTTCCGATGGTACTAATAGTTATTTTTCTTGACAAAAGTTCAGCAAATGTAAAAATATGACATAACCCCAATATGCTTCTACGACAGTTGAAAGATATACAAATTGACAGTTGACAAATATATGAATTGACCAGTAGAAAAATAGAAATATATGAGAACACACTAGATTCATCGAATTGAATCTCTGATTCAAAATTACAGACTAATCATATTTCAATTTTGCACAGTTTATCGAATCAGCTGTGGATAATTGAAGATTGAATCAATATTAGTATAATTGACACTGAAATTTGAACAATATTTCCGTTTTGCATATACTGGCTTTTCAATTATTTTGCAGAACACAAAAATTTAAAGTACACTTGTTCAGATGTATAGCAAAAGAAATAGACAAGAACTTTTTCGTAACCTATAATGCTTTAATCCCAGTTGGTGGCACTTACTAAAAAAAAACTAAAAACTAAATACAAAGTTACTTCGTACTAGCCGATGTATCGACGATTACTGAATTATCAGCAGAAAAATCAGAATCAGATTCACTTTTTCTGTACCATTATCTACAACTAATTTGTTTCATAAAATATATCATTTCAGAAATAATAAACCGTATATAGTCTTGTATGAACAAGAGAGTTATTTCATAGAATTTTCCACTCTTGTTTTTTTTTCAATCATGCCTTCTTTTCATTAGATAATAGATAATTTATGAAAATTCATATGACAAACAATTCAGACTGAAAAAACTAACATAAAACATATTTTTTAGGAAACTATCAAATTTAAGTCATTACCTTCAGATTTACTTGGGCTGCTGACATCCTCTGACAACAAAGCTTCTAGTTCTTTGGCAATAATTCCTGCTCCTTTCTCATTTTTATGGATCATATCTAAAACCCCATCGGAAAAATAAGATAAACAATACAAAATTTGTTGACCTACCTACCTGTAGTTTCTTTGTCAGTGTTATCTATTTCTTCATCACTTGAACTACCTGAAATAATAATTCATACAAGTATCAAAATTCAAAACCACTTAAGTAACTCTATTAAAGAATACAATATTTACTTCACCTAGGGTGCAATAAGCAGCAGCAAGAGTCCCAATCCCTATTTCCATATCGTCAAAAAAGAATATACCCTGAAATTCTCATTGTAAAAACTCTACTCCTATTATTGTCAGATAACCTTTTACACAAAATGTTGTTTGGAATATGAAAACATTTATTCATTTTAAATGAATAAATTGTTACTAGTATTGAGTGAACATAATGACTCAAATCCGGAATAGGAATAGTGTAAAT